AGGATGTAGAACGGCGGCAGAGAGGTGTCGGTGCGTAGAAACAGCGACGAGTCGGCAGTAGAAGGAGCAAACCCAAGGGCCGCAAGTGTAGTCCTCAGTGTGTCGTGCCACTCACGGGGCGCCTGCCGGAGACCGTGGACTGGCCGCCGGAGGCTCCACTGGGTACCAGCAGGAAACGACCCAGTGAAGCCAGGTGGGCGGCGCAGCCAGATCTCCTCGTGCAGGCTGCCCTGTAGGAAAGCAGTGCTGAAGTCAAGAGAGTGAAGCTCGTAGTCGCGCTGAGCGGCTTTGTGCAGCAGCACCTGAAGAGTGGTCATCTTCGGGGTGGGAGAGAAGGTCTGAAAGTAGTCAACTCCCTGCCGTTGACTGAAGCCTCGAGCCACGTAACGCGCCTTGAAGACAGGCGGAGAACCCGGCGGCCGCTTCACCCTGAAAATCCACATGCCACTGACGATGTTCGCCCTAGGTGGGGGAACCTCGTTGGCGTAGGTGCCTGTGGACTTCCAAGAAGCCATCTCTGCGTCCATGGCTGACTGCCACTGAGAGGAGTAGGGACCCTCTATCGTGTCTGCGTACGAGCGCGGAGTCGGGATGTGTGGTGCATCCGAGTCTCTCTCAGGGGCTAGCAACATGGACACGAGATGAGGTCAAGCAGTAGCAAAATAGTGGAACTCCTCCTGCCTGTCCTCAAGGACGTCCGTGCTAAGAGCATACTCACCCCCGACGGACGAAGGACATACAGACTCAGACTCAGCAACAAGACGAGCGGGGTAGTCTAGACGACAGTGAGCAGCGAAGTCGACAAGCTCAGCTACTAAGGCAAATGCAGCAGTGGACTCAAAGGAAGGGTCAGTGACAAAAGTAGCCAGGAGACTCGTGACAGTAGGACGGGCAGCACGAAGGGAGTCAGATTCCGGGTCAGCAAGAGTAGGAAGAGAGGACGCAGGAGGAGACGGCAGAGGGACACGCTGCGGAGCAGTGGAAGGACGTAGTGCCATCTGGTGCGTGCCCGGGACAGCAGGAGGACGCTGACGCGGAACACGACGACCAGTGCGAGTGGCACGAACAGGTAACGCAGGACGCGACTCAGGCTCACGACGCTCAGCAAGACCCCCGGTAGGACCAGTGTAAGGAGAGGGAGCAGGCAACGTCTGGAACTGTGACTGGACAGTCGGTGGACACTTTAAGGAAGGAGCACGACCAGTAGAAGGTGGGCGACCAAGTTCCTACTCAAAGAGTGGAATGAAGTATGGCCGCGGCCGTGCAGAGCCTCCAGAACCAACAGGGACAGCACCAGCACCCCCAGCGTCAGCTCCAACTCCAGCAGTACTACCAGCTCCACCAGGACCTCCAGCAGCGCCAGCAGCACCAACTCTAGCACCCCCAGAAGCACCGGCTCCAGCAGCACCTCCAACACCAGCACCTCCAAACGCTCCTGTTCGAGCAGGACCTCCAGCTCCAGACCCTCCAGCAGCACCAGCAGCAGCGGCACCACTAGGCCCAGCAGCTCGAGTACCTCCAGTACGAGCACCTCCGGGACTAGAGGCTCTAGAACCCCCAGCAGCTCCAGCAGCACGGCTCCAGCGGCGAGCTAACCACTCGCGCAGTTGCCGCGGAGAGAGTGGCTCCCGCCGGGACAAAACACCCGAAGAACCTCTAGGCACAGCACCTCCAGACGCCACCCGCCCAGGCACAGCACCCCCAGTCGGAGCACCCCCAGGCTCAGCACCCGCAGTCGCAGCAGCCTCATGCTCAGCACCCCCAGGCTCAGCACCCCTAGACTCAGCACCCCGAGGCTCAGCACCCCCAGACTCAGCACGAGAGTCAACAACTACTTCGACGGGCTCGACTGCGTCTGCCTGGGACACACCTGAGGGGGCAGGACCCTGAGGGGGGAGGGGGTCTACCGGGGGAGGACCTGGCGCGAGGAAGAGCGGCGGGGGGGGGGAGGGGGGCAGCGCGGTAGGGGAAGAGATGGTAGAAAGGAACCGACTCGTCAAACGTGACGTCCTGAGAGGGCAGAACATGGCGCAAGGTGGGGTGGTAAAACTGCCGACCAGGCACGTTAGGGGGGAAGCCAAGGAAGACGCAGGGAACAGCACGGGAGGACAGCTTGTCAGCAGACAAGTCCCAGACGAAAGCTCGAGTTCCCCAAACATAGAACGCAGACGCATCGCCAACCTTCCCTGTCCACCGCAGAGTAGGTGTGGTCTCCGGCACAGAGACTCAGGGCTGGAGGTTGATCTGATGCGCAGCGCACTAAACTGCGAACGGCCACAGAAAATGGGGAGCAGTCGCATGGATCATGGACGTACGAGCGACGTCCATGACCATGTCAATGCGGCGCTCAGCAATCCCATTTTGCTGTGGAGAGGCCGGAAGCGTGAACGTCTTGCGGATGCCCTCCGCACGATAGAGGGCTCCCTGAAGGTCAGAGGAGAATTCACCACCTCTGTCCGAGTGCAGACACAGGACAGGAAGGTCTGAGCCAAAACTCTCTCGAAGCTGACGACAAGCAGCGCGGATCCAGTCGATCAACACCTCAGTGACCTCACCCTTGCGACGCAAGAGGAAGACTGTGGTGTAACGCGAGTAGTCTTCAACGACCAGCAGAAAGTAGCGCTCGTGACCCTGGCCACGAACGCGGGCTGGGCCCCACACGTCCATGTGCAGAGTCTGCAGGGGAGCCTCCGTCGGAGGGAACTCAGAGGAGTGAGGTGCGGCGCGCTGCCTGTTACGAAACGAACTTAGTCTAGGAACCGGGGTTTACTAAGGGCCTAGGCTTAGTAGCCTAGGCCAAGCGGGTGTCGAGGTGGTTTTACCAAGGAGGATTGAGAATGGAATGTTTCACTATAGGTTTGCAAGAACATATAGCAAAAGAACATAGAGAAGGTGCACCACCAATGTAAGAAGGCATAACTACACTAAAGCTAATGCTACAGGTAGTTATAAACATACATATAAAATATGTATCACGACACACCCCCTTATCTGCCTGCAGCACATAACTTGAGCAAGTCACACCCCCGGAACCTGGGCAGGAGGTAGGAGAAGCAGATGAAATAGCAACACAGATCAACCATGACAATTGCAACAACGGCAGGTGCAGGACCCGAGAGGTGGGCGTGAGAGCAAGCGCCGTGGCTGCAACGAGCAGCTGGACAGCGCAGCTCAGCACCTCCGGGGGCGTGCCTACTACAGGCAGCAGGTGCAGTGATGGCAGATAGGGCCACAGTGACCTCAGCCATGGCAGATGCAGCAGCGACAGGTGCAGGACCCGGCAGGTGGGCGTGAGAGCAGGCGCTGTGGCTGCAACGAGCAGCTGGATAGCACCGATCAGCATCTCCGGGGGCGTGCCTGCTACAGGCTGGCGACTGCAAATGCCCGACTTACTTCTTCCACCCCCTTACCCGCCCACTCAACCCCTCTGGTGCTGGCGGCTAGCGCTGGTGCTGGTTCCTGGTGCTGGCGGGGTTCTCTGCTGGCGAGGTTCTCTGTTGGCGGGGTTCTCTACTGGCGGGGTTCTCTGCAGGCGGGGTTCTCTGCAGGCGGGGTTCTCTCTTGGCGGGGTTCTCTGCTGGTGGGGTTCTCTGCTGGAGGGGTTCTCTGCTGGCGGGGTTCTCTGCTGGCAAGGTTCTCTGCTGGCGCGGTTCTCTGCTGGTGGGATTCTCTGCTGGCGGGGTTCTCTGCTGGCGGGGTTCTTTGCTGGCGGGGTTCCTTGCTGGCGGCTGGCCCTGGAGCTGGTGCTGGTGCTGGCGGCTGGCCCTGGAGCTGGTGCTGGTGCTGGCGGCTGGCCCTGAAGCTGGTGCTGGTGCTAGCGGCTGGCCCTGCAGCTGGTGCTGGTGCTGGCGGCTGGCCCTGCAGCTAGTGCTGGTGCTGGCAGCTGGCCCTGCAGCTGGTGCTATCGCTTGTGACTGGCGTCGCTGCTGGTGCTGGTGCTGGTGGCTGGCGGGTCCAATGGCAGGTGATGCGCGCTGGGCGGGACGGGGGTCTCTGCTGGCGGTGACGCTGCTGGTGGGGTCTCTGCTGGCGGGGTCTCTGCTGGCGGGGTCTCTGCTGGCGGTGTAGCTGGTGGTGGTCCCGCCATGCCCTTCCCGCGCTTCCCTCTCCCCCACAGCGTTCGGGCGCCACTCCCTGCCCTTCTTCCCTCACCCCCTCCACAGCGACCGCTGCTGCACACGAGAACAACCACGACGGGGGGGGGGGGGGGGGTGACGGGCAAGGGGCGGGGGTAATGCGATGGGCAGAGCAACGGCGGGATAAGGAGCGGTTGGGGCGACGGGAAGCAGGGCGACGGGCGACGTTGTGCGGACAGGTGGCGGGAATCTGGCGATGGGCGGCACGGATCTGGTGATAGACGGCAGCGCGACGGGACGGGCGACAGACTGCAACAGCGGAAATTTCGCGGGTGGCGGGCTGCAGTAGCGGGTAGTGCACGGGGTCGACGGGGGCGAGAGCGACGGCGCAAAACAGCGGGTCAACGAGCGCCGTCACTCCCGCCGCGACCGTTGCGTCTGTCACGACAGCCGTGACAGATTTTGCTATGGGCGAGCGACGAGGAGGGACGGACGGAGCCGCGATTTGCTGCTTGACGGGACGCGCCATCACGATAACTTGCGGTGGGCCCTTAAGAAAATAGGTCGGGAACGACCTAGCTCAATACCATGTTACGATACGAACTTAGTCTAGGAACCGGGGTTTACTAAGGGCCTAGGCTTAGTAGCCTAAGCCAAGCGGTACCAAGGAGGATTGAGAATGGAATGTTTCACTATAGGTTTGCAAGAACATATAGCAAAAGAACATAGAGAAGGTGCACCACCAATGTAAGAAGGCATAACTACACTAAAGCTAATGCTACAGGCAGTTATAAACATACATATAAAATATGTATCGCGACACTGCCACCCTTCGACGCAGGAAACACAGGTAGGGGCAGGCCCCGGAGGGAGGGGAGGGAGTGACCGGGGCAGACCAGTGACAAGGACACGAGAGGCCATGCCTCAAAGACGAGGCAGGGAGGGGTGACCAAGGCGGTGGTGCCAGAGGAGTGTCTGGAGCGACAGGAGGCGACACGAGCAGGGGGCAGACTCAAGACCAGACCAGGACGCTGCAGCAAACACCTGACCCGACGCAGCTACCTGAGCAAACGCAGCAACCGGGGGAGGCACAGTAGACAGGGTGTACGGGCTCGGCCCAGGCTAAAGGGCGAACGTGGCTAGGTGTCGGCTTGTCCGAGTACACGAACAGTGGGTCACCCTCTGATCGCCTGGAGTGAACTGGTCAACCCACGCATCCTGAAGGTCAGCTCCACTCACCAAGTTCGTGGAGAACGAGGGGAGGTGGAGGCCCGACAGAGAGCCAGAGGGGACCGTCGGACACGGCAGGACCGTGGAGGAGTGAGCAAGGACCGGACCCCCAGAGGGGTCAGCCAGGGAGACTGCCACTGGCCGAGTGAGCGGCGTGAGAGTGGTGCAGTCGCGAAAGAAGGAGCGGGAAGCGCCCGAGTCAAGGGTGAAGGTGTGCAGGACCTGACCCGACTCGGTACCTGAGAGAGCAGACTCACCAACACCTAGAGCAGCAGACGCACGAGCACCTGGAGCAGTAGACTCACTAGCGCCTAGAGCAGCAGCCCCAATGCCCGGGTTGGGCGGAACACACAGGTAATAGTCACCCTCAGCACTAATAGACACAACATACATAGCAGCAAGGATAGCATCAAAGTCAAGATCAAAGATAACAACACCCGACTTGAGCAGATCACCCCAGCGAGGGATCTCAGAGGAGTCAGGGAACTGGGCATGCCAGGCGTCGGTCAGGCGGCCGAAGCAGCGCTGGGTGACGTGCGGGCCGCCGCACGTCTCACCAATGCGGTTGCCGGTACGCAGGACGAAGGCACAGGGACCAGCTCCCGCAGACCGCTGGCGCCCAGCGTACCACTCACGAGGCTGCTGGGGCAACGGGATCTCATGAGAACGCTGCTGCTGCTAGCGCTGGCCACCACCAAAGCGTGCACGCTGCACAGCGCCACCAAGACCAGTCCCACCGCCGTCGCCGCCGCCACCGCCGCCGCCACCGCCGTCGCCACCACCGCCGCCTCCACCCCCACCGCCACTACCGCCGCCGCCTCCACCTCCACTACCGCCACCGAAGCCCCCACCCCCGCCACCACTCCCACCTCCACCCCCACCCCCGCCACCACTCCCACCTCCACCCCCACCCCCTCCACCGCCTCCACCGCCATCACCGCCGCCCCCGCCATCTCCTTCAGCACCCTTGCCCCCCTTGCCCTTGCTGTTGCGGCGCCTCCCACTAGGAGCAGACGCAGAGCCGACCGACTCGGTGCCAACGAGGTCGACAACAGCAGTAGAGGCAACAGAGGGCAACAGGGGGACAGGGGAAAACCCCTCAAAGAAAGGGGTACGGGGGATACCATGAGAGGCTCCTACAGCGGTAATACTCTTCTCGGCTGCAAGAAGGCGCTCCTCGAGGAGGTCAACGGTGAGTGTGGTGGGGCAAAGAGAGAGGAAGTGGTCCCTGACAGAGCGAAGGGTGTCAGGGAGCCGGGTGACTAGGTAGTAGAGGGTGATGTACATGGGGGGGGGGGGGGGGGGGGGGGGTAGTGGCGCAGAACTCAGTAGGAAGCACAGCGCGGTAGCGGGTGTCACTAGTGCGGAGGCGCGTAATGAGGTCAGCGACTGAGGCAAAAGCGGCGAGGTCAGGGAACAGGTACGGCAGCATGAGGCGGCTAAGGGCAGCAATGGCAGGGGAGGAGTAGCGTGCAACTACAGCGTCGTACAGGGTCTTAGCAGTCTTGTACTAACTAAAGTGCGCGAGCTCAGAGGACGGCAGGTGACTACGCACAGCAAGGCGGGCAGCAGCATCGCGTGTGGTCCACTGTGAGCGAACAGTACTGTCAGCATCGGCAGCAGGGGCAGCAGAGGCGCCAGACGTGAGATCGATCAGTGAGATATCGTCCTTGTTATCGCACCGCAGGAAAAGCTGCAGATCATCGACCCAGACCTCAAAATCGACTGCTCGGCCTCAGTATCGAAGGAAAGCACATTGGGACTGGCCATGACAGCAGCAGCGGCAGGCTAGCAGCAGCAGCGGCAGTGCAACTCGGCTAAACGGCGCAGCTCGGTAGGGCGGCGACGCGCTTACCAGGGGAAGGTGGGTAGGGTGGCCGCCACTGGAGGGGCAGGGCCGTGGTGCGCCGGCAGGGTCGGGGCCGCAACTGGGCGTAGAGCAGGGCCGCGGCTCGGCTGCAGGGCAGGGCCGGGGCAGCAGTGACGGCAGCGGCGGTGGCGGCTCGCCACACCGGCGGCGGTAGGCTCGGTGGCGGCGGCAGGGACAGCAGCTGCTGTAGGGCTCCCGGCGGCTACTGTATTTGGAGGCCGCGACCGGCGAGAGGGGCAGGGCGGGGGCCGCAACGGCGGGTCGACGCCCAAGGCAGGGCGAGCGTGACGGGCGTCGGGGCCGCGACAGGCGACGGGGCGGGGCCGGGGCGAGGCCGCGACGGGGCCGTGAAGGGGGGGGGGGGCGCGAAGGGGTCGCGACGGGGCCGGGGCGGGGCCGCGAATGGGCCGGGAAGGGGCCGTGAAGGGGCTGCGACGGGGCCGCCGGGGCCGCAAAGGGGGGGGGGGGGGGCGCGAAGGGGGCCGCGAAGGGGCCGGGGCGGGGCCGCGAAGGGGTCGCAACGGGGCCGCGAAGGGGCCGCGAATGGGCCGCGAAGGGCCGTGACGGGCAGTAGGAGCAGGACAGGGCCGCAACAGCGGCAGCAGGGCAGAGCGCGAAACGCGCTTCGAGCAGGGCAGGAAAAAAAAACTTATCGAAGTGGTGGGCCCTAGGAAAAAACGGTCCCACTAGGGAACCCGCTCTATACTATGTGAAGAAATGAGGAATGAGAATGAACTAGGAAAGTGTTGGGTACAACTATGAAACCCTAGAAACCTGTACCCCTTAGTGTCTACCCCACTATAGCCTACAAAGGCTAAGTCATATATATCTGACACACTTCTGTCGTCTGTTTCATCACTTGTTACCACTGTCGCTAGCTTTGCCTCTTCCCACTGCCTTGACTACGCCGCTCACTTGGTGAGTGGCCCTGCTCGTTCTCCGCTGTTCCTCATCTCTGTGCCATGCTACTTGCTCCTGAGAGGGATCCATACGCCCTTGACATCCCGATCCCTCGCACTCACGCCGAGGCGGTCTCGGGACCCTAGGCTTCGTATTGGATAGCAGCTGAGGAGGCAGAGATGGCATCTTATAGGTCCACAGGTACTTACGTCAACGCAGTCCCACCACCTAGGACGAATGTCGTCAGTGGCCGATGGCTCTACAAGGTGAAGCGGCCGCCTTGATCACCACCTGTGTTCAAGGCGCGCTATGTGGCGAGAGGCTTCAGTCAGCGAGAGGAGGTGGACTTCTTCCAGACCTTCGCTCCCACCCCGAAGATGAGTACCCTTCGGGTGTTGCTGCATATTGCAGCCCAGCGCGACTACGAGTTGCACTCCTTGGACTTTTCCACCGCGTTCCTTCAGGGGAGCCTGCACGAGCAGATCTGGCTGCGTCGCCCGCCTGGCTTCACTGGCTCTTTCCCACTTGGGACCCAGTGGCAGCTGCGTCGACCAGTCTACGGCCTGCATTAGGCTCCACGTGAGTGGCACGACACACTTCGCTCGACCCTTGCAGCTCTTGACTTCGTTCGTCGTGGCTCGACCCCGTTCTTTGTCCTGGTCTACGTCGACGACCTGGTGTTTGCCACTCCCGACCGGCGCGTGCTGGCCTCCGTGAAGGAGGAACTGCAGAGGAGACACACATGCACTGACCTTGGTGAGCTGCATCACTACCTTGGCCTGCAGATCACCAGGGACAGGGCAGCTCGCACCATTACGCTGACTCAGTCGCATATGGTCGAGCAGATCCTTGTGAAGATAAGCAGTAGAAGGCGCCATAGCTAGGAAAGCCCTAGCTAGGCAAGAAACAGTTTAGGCAAAGAGGATGTTCACTAGCAGGAATGAGGATACAAATAGCAAACCCTAGAAGGGTTGTACTCGCTATAGAGCACCCCACTACAGGCTAGAGCATAACATTCTGACACACCCCCATAGCCAAAGTGGGGTGTAATCAGCAGAGCAAGCAAAGCAGAACTAGCTCAGGGTGGATCATAATGTCACCACACATTCTGAGCTCAAGTTCAAGAAGCAACAGTTTAAAGTTCACAAATGTAAGCAAAGCTAGAGGCTATCGCAGAGGGCAAGTGAGGAGGAGGAGGCGAGACTGTAAGAGGAGAGGAGATAGGAGGTGACGACTGAAGCTGCAGACACACGGGCAACAGGAGGCACACTGGCACAGCGGCTACCGGAACAGCGCTCCGGACTACTGGAGTAACTTGCCCCGCGGCTAAAAGTAGCGGCAGACAAGCAACGGACCCACGGGCGACTGGCACAGATGGCTGCGACTGGGCTACCGGAGCAACTCATGTGACCCTTGCTTGCTCTAAGACTGTGTGTGTCCTTGAGACCCACCTTGAGATATGTGTTGTTTTTCCACAGGATAATGGCCACCTAGACTATGGGGGTGTGTCAACATACATTCTATATGTGTTGTGTAGGTTAGTCTAGGTGTTACATCTCTACTTCCTTGCATGATTATGGTTTGCTATATCTAGGGCTGTACTTCACATTTTCTATCAATTCATTCTTATCGTAACAGCTGGTGCTGGAGGTGCAAGTGGTACTGGCACGGCCGATCCCGGAGGTGCTAGAGGTGCTCGTCCTGGAGGTGCTAGAGCTGCCCGAGCTGGAGGCGCTGCGGGCTCTGGAGCTAGAGGTGCTGGAGCTGGAGGATTTGGAGCTGCTAGTTTGGGAGGTGCTAGTACTGGAGGTCCTGGTGCTGCCGGAGCTGGTGGTGCTGCTGGTGCTGGAGGTGCTGGTGGTAGTACACATCAGCGACTGTTCTTCGCTCAGCCGTCACCGTCGTCTCTGCCGCCGCCTGACTCGGCGCTTCGCCAGGTTCTTAGCCTCCCGTTTTCTACTGGTCTCCCGTTATAGCCAGGCTCCCACTCCTTGCTCCCTCTCCTTACACTGAGCAGACAGGAGGTCTTACTAAGAGTCGTGAACCTGCGTCTCGTCCTGCCTTGCCTGTTTGCGCTGGTCGCACTGGTCGTCGTGTTCCTCGACAACGTCCTCCTCCTGTTCCCGGCACGCACACTATGGCACTTCATCCTTCCTTTGTTCCATAGCGCATTTCCCTGCCGTCTCCTCCTGCGTCCTCTCTTCCGCACGTTCCGGAACCTGAGTCTGACCTGGTTTGTGCTGCCAGTCCTACTGAGTATGGCCTCTGTTGTCACTTACCCTTCGTTTGAGTCTACTACTGCGTCTGCCTTAGTTGCTGAGCTTTTTGACTTTGCTGTTGTTTGTTGTCTCGACTACGCCGCTAGTCGTATTGCTGAGTCTGAGTTTGTTTTTCCTTTGTCAGTCGGGGGTGAGTGTGCTCTTAGCACGGACGTCCTTGAGGACAGGCAGGAGGACTTTGAGTGTTTTGCAGCCCCTGCACCTCATCTCGTGGCCATGCTGCTTGCCCCTGAGGGAGACCCGGATGCACCAGACATTGCGACCTCGTGCTCTTACGCTGAGGCGATCACGGGTGAGTACTCCTCTCAGTGGCAGATAGCTATGGACGCAGAGATGGCATCCTGGAAATCCACAGGCACCTACGTCGAGGCAGTTCCCCCTCATTGGGTGAACGTAGTCGACGGCATGTGGATTTTCAGGGTGAAGCGGCCGCCGGGTTCTCCGCCTGTCTTCAAGGCTCGTTACGTTGCACGAGAATTCAGTCTGCGACACGTAGTTGACTTCTTCCAGAGCTTCTCTCCTACCCCGAAAATGACCACTCTTCGGGTGCTGCTGCACGTTGCCACTCAGCGTGACTACGAGCTTCACTCTCTTGACTTCAGCACATCTTTCTTGCAGGGCAGCCTGCACGAGGAGATCTGGCAGCGCCGTCCACCTGGCTTCACTGGGTCGTTTCCTGCAGGTACCCAGTGGAGCCTCCGACAGGCAGTCTACAGTCTCTGCCAGGTGCCTCGTGAGTGGCACGACACATTGAGGACGACACTTGTGGCACTTGGGTTTTGTAAGGATCTAGGATCGAACTCAGAAAAGAGAATTGTAATTGAATGATCACCTGGCTACAACATGAGGCTATATATAGGCTCGACATAAGGCCGAGTAACCAGGTGTTACACGAAGGTTCTGAAGGTCCCGAAGCGTCCCGAACAGATCCTTCCCGAATTCGGTAGAAGGCAATTTGGTGTCAACCAAAAAGCCAGAATTCGGTGCACGCAACCTAGCTCGGTGCTATAACTATAATAAAATCTAGGAAAGCACCTAGCCTAGGAAATCAAGCAATTCATGCATGCATATAATTATCCTATGCTAGAAATAGCATAATAAAGTAAAGGCAAGCTAGCATAGCTGGCATAAGCTGTCGTACTCTCACACGTCATCCCCTCAAAGCTGAGTGGCGTGAGATACACCCTGCTTGACAAGATGGTCCTTGAGAGCACGGCGTGCGTTGCCCATATCAGCTTCTGCAACCTAGCTGTCCTCAGTGGGGTCATATCCCTTCCACCGTATCAGGAACTCGAGGGCCTTACCGCCGCGGCGCCGATGAGAGAGGACGGGCGTTCCACTTCATACTCAGGTTCATCCTGGATGAGAACAGGTGGTGGAGGC